TGTGGTGTTTTTTGTGTTTTGTGATGTGAACCCAATAGCTTTTTAAACTTTTAAGCTTTTAATCAGGATTATAGTATTTCAAATCTTATACAGTAAACACCATAGATCACACATAGAAAAGGAGTTTCTTTCCATGTAGAGGAAAGAAGGAGCTTTCCACACTTTTATGAGAAAAGATCATATAATAATGCTGTCTCTCTCTAATTAACAATCGTTGTTGAGCTTTCTTGGAAATTTAGGTGCGTCATACTTGTTTTCCACTGTAAAGTCTAGGATGGTAAGAAGAGAGATGCCTGGGAAGGTGAGGATGCCACTGGCATGGAGAAAGTTCTTGTGATCAAAATGTGACCTAGTGAAAAGTTCTTACAACTTTTGCCCTGCTACACTGTTTTCTCTTTCTGTAAACAATTTGGAAAAAGTCCCAGTGAAAACATGTAATTCTGGCACCTGGGCTCCTGCAGCTAGCCCATCTCCAAGCAGTGCTCACAGAGCCTCCTTGCTTGGGCTTCCCCTCTGTGTCCATGATGCACCTGACCCAGAGGAAAACAGCTTCCCACCTAGTGCTAAGCCACACAGTGGTGTATGGTGGCCCTGAACGACTTAAAGTGACAAAAAATAAAAATGACTGTATGTAAAAGGAATAAAATGAGGGGGGAAAAGCTAAGAGAAGTCAATTCTCTTAAGGCTGGGTGGGAGTAATGGTCTCTCTCCATGGTATTCCTTCTAGTTCCTTGGAGCACTGTTTAGTATTTGAGAGTCCTGCTTATGTTGCCTTTAAACCATGTAAGTTTTGTGTGTCCTTTAAAAGAAAAAGACATGCTGTTCTGAAATGCAGAATTTCCCCCCAAAGCTTAACTTAAAGTTACTCTGCTATTCTGTAGATTTACCAGTAGCTCAAAGGTGAGGGGTTTTGTTTCTCCTGATTACAATAAAATTATAAATCCTTTTACAAACTTTTTTTTTTATATAGCAAACTCTGTCCTAAGAGTATTATGAGATGTATGTAACGAGACATTGAGCATAGGGCCCATGGGGGAAGTAGCCCAAATTTTTTCAGTGGTGCATAGACCTTGGGGATGTGCTCCACCCAAAATGGGTATGAAATTATTTTCCAAGTCAGACGGAGGAAATGGAGGTTGTCACAGAGAATCTCTGATATCTGCATGTAAAAAAGCAGTGCTATCAGCAATGTTCTTGTCCACATCTGTGCAATAACGTCCTATTAGTCCTACTAGTCCTTTTGTAGTTGTTGACTGTTGCACCCACACAGTGAGCTGTCATATTCAGTGCAACACAAAAGCAACAAATTGAAATGGTATTGAGTCTGTGTACTGAGTTTGAACTGTGTTACCTTCTTTTTCCATTTTAACTGGGTGGGGAAAAGTATTTCCCTCGCCTTTCAAATACTTCTTCAGGGTATGACATTGGCCACCGTCTTTATTGCCTTGAGTCTTTATACCAAAATACAGAGTCTGGTGCTTTTCTGTCTTTTGTTGTTGTTCTGAAATAACACAGCATTATGCTGCCTGTCTGTCAAGGTGTAGACAGATCTATATATGGCAAATATGTTTTTACCGATACTGTTGTACTGTATAATTTGCAGGCTGAGAGAAAGAAAGATCCAAGCATCTGAGTGTTTGCCCTCTGTTCCCTACAGGTCATAAAATGTGGTGAACATCCACAGGAGTTTCAATGAATATATAGAATATTCCAAGTTAGCAGGCAATTGATTTCAATATACTTGGAGTTTAACCACAATTTTAATTAATTGTAACTGGCAACTGATACATGGCAGAAGACATGATGAGTGAGAAACTTGGGAACAAACTGATCATTGGGTTGATTCCAAAATGGCCATTATCTTGGACAGTGTAAATGTGAGTTGTAGGAATATTTAAGGGTCAGCTGGAAGTGAAAATTTCCAAGTGCCAAATTCCATTCTCTTAACATGCACCTAAAATTGAAGTAAAACTTCTTTTTTTTTTCTTAATACTGCTATGAGTACTACTTCAAGATTAATCGGTGTTAAAAGTACAGACATGTTTTTGTAACTACTTCGAGATACGCTTAGGTTTGAACTTTAGACCAATACCATTGTAGTCTTTACACAACACAGTCACTTAGTAGTCAGAATTGGACTCTTCTTATTTAGTTACATTCACTTTGCTGTATTTGAGAAGAATGTGAATGTTTATCCCCCCAAAATAATATTTTAAATAACTTTTTGGCAAAATGTTTGCTACGTGATAGTTGCTGAATTACAGCTCACAGTAAAAAACAAGCAAACAAAAGGTGAAGCACCACCAGGTAATTAAGTGAAGGATTAACCTTTTAAATGAAAACATGAACTTCATGAATTGTAAAGATAACATACATTTCAAAGAGCCCCTCCCATGACATCTCCAAGGGGGATGGACTGCCGTGAGTACATAGCAACTCCATGTTAAGGTACAGCACAATAAAGACATGGACCTGCTCGAGTGGGTCCAGAGGAGGCCACGAAGATGACTAGGAGGTTGGAGCCACCTCCCTTATGAGGACAGGCTGAGAGAGTTGGGGTTCTTCATCCCGGAGAAGAGAAGGCTCCAGGAGGGAGACCTTACAGTGTCCTTCCAGTATTCAAAGGGGGCTACAGGGAAGGTGGGGAAGGACTCTGTCAGGAACTGTAGTGATAGGATGGGAGATAATGATTTTAAACTGAAAGAGGGTAGATTTAGATTAGACATTAGGAGGAAATTATTTCCTGTGAGTGTGGTGAGGTACTGTAACAAGTTGCCCAGAGAAGTTGTGGATGCCCCTTCCCTGGAAGTGCTTAAGGTCTGGTTGAACAGGGCTTTTAGCAACCTGAACTAGTGGAATAATAACCCTGATCTTTAAAGGTCCCTTCCAACCCTACACCATTCTGTGATGCTTTGGAATGGTGTATTTACTGTTCAGTGTAGCTGATAACTGGCTGTATGAGCCTAGTTACAGTCATCAATCTACACTGAAAGTAAAATAGAAGTAAAACTGGATTACAGGCAAGTAGTTGTATGTCAGTATAAGTTTCTGGCAAGGGTGCCCTGTAATTACTATACACTAATCATTCTTGTGAACAAACTTCTAAATGTGGTGAGTGACTGCTTTGGGAGTGGTAATGAGATGCTTTGGAGGCAGGTATTTTTAGCCAGAAGATGGTAGTTTGTATGATTCAAAATTTGTTTTCCCAATAAGTTATGCAATATGGACAGCCTCTGCATCTGTTATGTTTCCAGTATTAGATGCTGAGGAAACTAGCATTTTTGGAGGGGTCATAAGTTTATTTTGCAGCCATACATTTTTAAGCAACTAGGAGTAAGTGGGTTGGTTTTCCGAAAGTGCTTTGTGGGTGAGAAAGGACCTCTCCCTGAGTGCAGGACTCATGCTACATAACTTTAGGGAAATGGCTGTGGGGATTTCTGTAGGAGACTCTTCTGCCATTATTTGAGAAAGTTTAGGGTCCTGAACATACAGACTCAGAATCACTAAAGCAAATGAGCTTAAAGTAAATTGAAGTAGGCACAGTGTAAATACCTTTTTCTTGTGGTTAAGTTATGACTTGAAGTTGGATTTGATTCAGGGATCTTGTTGTGGTTGAAGTACAAGATTAGCAGACACTGGGTCTGTGCTTTGTCCTGTTGCAGAATTTCTGTGGGGAACCAGGAAGGTTTCAGGCTGTCTTTATGGAATACATCATCTGATATAATGAATGCAGAGGAACACCATGAGACTTAGTTCACACATTATTATAAAGCCTGTTGAAAGGCTCTCCTGACTAGCATCTCTAAATAAAACAAATTATTCCATGAACGGCAAATCTATTGAAGCCTGGTTTTCCTTCAGCTGATTTACTTTGTTCACATCTATCCTAATGTCTTCCTCGTCCTTTCCCACTGTCACTTCAGAGCTTCCTCCTTCTCTCTGTCCCAACCCTTTCTGAGATTGTTTGAAGTTACTTCACTGCTATGCATGATTACGAACACTCCATGTCCTGCTCATGTACCACCATCAATGGTTGACTCTGGAGTTGACTCGTGTGTGAGCATAGGAGAAAATGCAGCTAATGAGTATGACTCACCATTTCCTTCAGCAAGAATGGCACACCAGGCCTCTCACAGGGCCATGTTCAACCACCCTTTTTATGCAACTTGCAAGAACATGATGGTTTTGGCATGCTGGACAAATTTGATTTTAATCAGCTGAAGAATTCAAAACTTGAGAGATAGGACTGCTGATCAGCACAGCTGCATAAACCATTCTTCTCCAGAAACTGGATTGGAATAGGGTCTGTCTAGGAAAGCCAGGTGTGAATCTATTCAAGTGAATGCTGCTGTATTCTTTGAGAAATGACACATCATACTATCTGAGTTTTGTAGTTTTTAAAGCCTTTTCCTTGAGTATTGGTTAAACAGACTATCCATTGGTGAGTAAATTTAAGTGAAAGAAGATAATTTCTATCCTTTCCCCTCTGCTCTTTGGGATATGGATGACTTTTCACCCTTTTGTATTCTTGTATTTGAATGGATTTCATGAAAACTTCAGGCTTTTAGGTTCGTTATGTTTAAATTTTGATGGAGCCACGTTAGGCTATATCCACTAAGTCTCTTTTGCTTAGACAAAAAACTTTGTAAAAATTTTCTCTTTATTGTTACTATCTATCAGATGAAATGTTAGCCATGTGCTTGGTTTTCAAATTTGTTAATTTAAGACCTTGTTAGAATCCAGGTAAAAAGTAATTTAGTTCTTTTTCTTCTGAGGGCAGGGCAACTTCAAGAAATTATGGATGATAGGTGAGATGGAAACTGTATGTCACTGGAAAATTGGTTTAAAAAACAGTATGTTAGAGAATGTGTATTTTCACCAAGTTGTGTACTTCAAATACATGCTTATGTGTATTTTTAATCAAAAAAGACATATAGTTCTTTTTATGGTTTTGGTTTTAACTGCTAAAAGTGTTCTAAAGTATTTTTTTTTCCCTTCAGCTGATGGAGTCTGTTTCCTTAAATTCTTCGTTAATGGAGACACTGAATACTGTCATGTGGGAAGGCAGTCTGTGTTAATTATGCTGGGGTACAACAGTGCCTTGCTCCAGTTCAAGTCGCAATCTGGTAGGTACATCTTGCTTCTGAGTATCTTCTCCTTCCTGCCATGCTACTGTACTGGTAAAGTTCACTTTAAATATGTAGTCTTCTACCTCTGTTTTATGTTGGCTATTTAAATATAACACCTTGTTTTGATGATTTGTTCGACTTAATTTGCCTCTAACCTACTCCTGCTGCCTTTTGTGGACTATGGTCCATTTGTATAGTGTACGTAACATTTTTACAAAACAGCTGCAGATTAATTTTCTGAAGAAAGCGAATGCAGATAACACATTCATGACTTAACTTCATAACTACTAACTGGTAAATGTAATGCTTTGTGTGGGCAATCTGCTACTTGTTGCTCCCCATTCAGAAATAGTCTCGCAGATCTGTTTGTCTGTATAGTTAATTGAGGTAGTTCAACATACATCTGCAGTTCTTAGGATAGATATTTTGTGCACAGTGATGCTGAAAGAGAAACTCCCTGTGCTGTAGAAACAACTGTATTTTAGTAGAATGCTGAGATCTGTATTTTTAGTAGAATGCTGAGATCTGTATTTTTATACTTCCATCTGACTTGTGTTTTTGTAAATCCAACAGCTGAGACCTTTTAATATGTGCTATCCTTATGTCCTCTTACTGGCTTTTGGAAAAGCATTCTTAGTTTTTATGCGGGGACATTCAGAAGGCTGCCTATTTATTCTGAGTAGTGTGCAGCGTGGCCACAACTCATTCTGAAATTGTGTAACTGTAGGCAACATACAGCTTCCTCTTTAGCAATAACCGGGAGTTCTTATATAGCAGCCTACATCAGTAGGCCTGGTGATTTCCAGGGGGCCATTATTGTTATTTCCATTTTATCTTGTGTGGAAACTGAGGCAAAAAGCAATTAGATTTGATTTTTGGCAGCATATTTAAAGACACATACATGTTCCCAAGCATCAAGGGCTGAGAATTGGGATGTAGGTCGGTTGGTTTGTGCAATGAATTGCTAGTCCTGTGTCACGTAGACACAATATGTGAACTCTTGAATCCTACTCTACTAGAAAATACAGTTTTCAGACGAACCTGAATTTTTCAGTTGGGTGCCAAATCTTGGTGGCCTTTGAAGTCTTACCAGGTTACAGCCTTTCCTCTATATCCACCAAGAAAAACTATTCACATTTTCAGTCTCTTACCTTACTGAAACATTAGGAGTCTAAACTAAAAATGACTACGTCTGGTTTGTTTGGTTGGTTGTTTTGTTTTTTTTTTTTTTTTTATCTATGTATCTGTTACAATGCAGTGTTGTGTTTCTATTAAGTTGTTTCTCTTGAGACTGCAATACAATATTGTCTCTTACAGAGACCCACATCATAATGTTACTGGAAGGTGGTAATTAACTCTAGGACTCAATTTTGGAGTTTCAGAAAGCAGGCATTCTTTATTACAGCTGCCGGACACACAGGGGATAGCTCCTCCTGATGTGTGTGTGTGAGAATGAAATCAACAAGCATTTATACTACCTGAATCATACATAATCATTGCATTTTTATCATATTCATAACTTTTCCGGGAACTTATTTAGCATATGTTAATGTGTCTTGCGCATGTCAGTTGGAGTCTTCAGGTGGTCGTTGGGGGTCTTCAGATGAAGGCTTGTAGTCGTCTTCAGTGTGAAGTTGACCAGTTGACCAGTTTGACCCTTACTTCTGCGCAAACTCAATCCTGTAGTCACGTACATCTTGTCCTTCAAGTCTGGCCTGGTCTGGTTTGTTGCTAATTTGCAGCTTCTTTATGTTTCTTTGTACCTGCCACTACAATGCCAAACTGTCTCCAATAAGATTATTTGAGTTCCTTATCCTACAGTTATTCCAACTATTCCTCAAAAGATTAGTATTTGTTCTACAGCACAATGGTTAAATGGCTAAAACAGCTTGAATTGATCCTAATAATTCTATTCCTTAAATATATATTTTCTAATAACCTTAGTTCACAGGTATCAATAACTGAAGTGATAACTGAGGTTAGGTTGTTCAGCAATTTATTAGCTCACTGCTGATGTACTTAATAACTAAGGAGTCAGGCAAGTTTTTCAGTAGCCTTTGGTCTGCAATCTCTACCATGTCTTGCCTATCTAGGAAGGTTCTGATTCCAAAAGGCACTGACTGTTTGAGGTTCCAACGCAAAAGAATTTTCTTTATAAAGGTGTAGAAGAGGACTAACAAGTATTTGGAAAAAAATCCATCTAACTTCTGTACAGTTCAGTGTTTTTCCTGAGAAGAGTGCCTTGAAGATTGTGGTGAATTCAGTTCCCTCTTTAGCTATATTTCTTGGTGACTTGTGTTTAGTTTATTTATATAGCTGCATATTGTGCAATATATGAGCAGTATAGATAAGTCTTTTAAACAATCAGAAATAATAAATTAACATGACAAAATAGTGTTTTCTTTATTTCTTCCATCTTTGAAACTCAAAGGAAAAAAATTTGAAATGGTCTGTTAGTCCATGCAACAACTGATAAAATTACAGGAATATAATGGATTGATCAAAGTCAAGTCAGTTCAGATTAAATGACCACCCTGACCAAATGGAATGTGTTGGGTGCTGTGTTAAACTGAAATTTAATTGCAGGATATTTTTTCCCCATGCCATAGGAATAGCTTGCTGGTACTTTCTTCTACACGTTGTGTATATCAAATAGTATCTAGTCTTGAGGAAGTTACATGTTTTTACAAGAAGTCAAGACTATAGAGCAGAAGCTAAGCTTTTGTTGCTTTGTTTGTACAAGAGTAGATATTACAGTTTTATGTATGTGCATGTGTGTATAATAAGTAAAAATAATCCTGTTATTAAAAAAATGGACTGAAAACTCCTTTTTCATGTGTTGGAAGTGTTAGTTATGAAAATGTATTGTAAAAGTCTTAGTTTTTTTTTTAAGATCTCTGTCTTTTAGGAAGGTAGAGGAAGACGAGGAGTGAGGAATGGGGGTAGAGGGAAATTCATGCCCTGCTTGTGCTTGTACAGAGGATTGCTGTTCTGATTCCAGCATCCAGACCAGTTATAAATCACAGCCTGTATCCTTTATTTCCTGCTGAACATGTTAAACATCTGAGTAGGATGAAGCAGGCAATAAAAATGGAAGTTAGTAGGCTACAGGCTTTTCTTTCAAAAACAAAGATCATTTATCTGTAACAGACCAACCAACTAGTCTGTAACTCGTCCGTGGCAGACATGGTATGTAGCCATCTACTCCTTGGTGGAAATGACCTGCCTAATTTAGCATGGAATTAGTTCATGAGCATAGGATGAATTGTTCTTTTGGGGTTGTGGTAGAATGCAGATTCCTTTCTTCTCTTTCAAACCTCATAACCCTGGTCTCCAGCCACTTCCAGAGTGCATCCAGGCATTGGACATGCCGACAGTTGGTGTTTGTAGATGATGTTTTACTAGCACAACTCATCTTGAAAGTTGTCTGTCAGCTCTGATACCTGTGCCACTTACATGGAAGCACAATACAGGTGAAAAAAAGTGTTGTTTACAGTTTTCAGTTATTGATAGCATATAACACTTGTGGATCTCCACATACAGAAGTGAGCTAGAGATATATAAATGTGTGTCTGTAGATGCATACATACATATATATATGTGTGTGTGAAATATATTAAAGGCATACACTGAATTTTGTATGTATACACACACATGCTGTTACTGCAGTATAATTCAAGCAAAGGAATGTAGTATGTCTTATGGTGATTTTTTTTTTTCCCAAAAATTATTATTTCATGTAATGGCATATGGATCTAATGAGCTATGATTCTATTAGCAAGTCACACAGTCCAGAAGGAACAAGTTTTTAGAACAGAACAGTTGGTGCTAGGGACCTGGTATGCAAACTATACTGATTTGGGAAGGAGGCAAGAATGTAGGGTGTATTTATGTTGAAGTAGATCTAGTCTGGTCACATAGACTAAATGACCAGTGACTGTTGAAGTTTATTCCTGGAGTGCATATTTTGATTTTAATTTAATCCAGAAGGATTCTAATTAGTGTGTATTGAGATGACTCAGTCATGCAAACCAAAGCACTGTAAGTGGGGACAATTAATTGATATGCCTCAAGACTCACAGGTTGCAAGGAAGCTGTTCAGCAGTATAAATCTAAGAATTGGTGTAAATAATAAATTCTATGAAGAAAAGGGACCAAATAGCTCTGTGGCTGTTTGCTAGTCTCTGTTTAAAGTAATGATCCTGTTTTTCAGAAAAGCAAAATAAAAGAAGAGTTTGGTTACCTGAATCTTGTTTTGTTAGAGTTAATTTATAAAGCAGTTAAATTCACAAATATCTTGCAGCTTGAAACAGTTGCAGAGTTTTATTGCATAAACGAGGTGGAGCTTGTTGAGAGGAGAACATATTCAATGAATTGACTGTAATTGCACCTCTGCAATTCACAGTGATGTGAAGTCCAGAATTTGCTAGTCTCAAAAGAGCAGTAGGAGGTTTTACTAATGGAATGACTTGGAAAAGTTTTGACTTTTAAGCCATACTACATGTATAATTGTAATCTCTAACTTCTCACCTCTGGAGCAAAAATTTACATTCTGTGTTGTACTCCAGTTTCTAAATTACTCCACTGTCATAAAGTGACTCTAAGCTCTGTAAGTGCTTTCCCTGAGTTCATTTATGGGGATGTCTGAAACACTGGGTGGGCATTGGGAGTAAGGAGCAATTAGTTTGACATGTTTAGCTTCAACCGAGTTAAGTGTCTAATAATAATTTTCCAGGTTGTATGTGGAGCTGGGGACTGTGGTGTGCAAGAACAAATACCCATGAAGTGATTGTGGAGACGGCTGGTCTATTGGCAAATCTTAACAGTCCACTGACCATGCCTTCTGCTGTGTGTGTATCCACTACACTCACTGTTCAAACCCTTGGACTTGCCATTGTCTCACTCTGTTTTCTACGCTGTTGCTTTTCTTGATCCAGTTAGAGGCAGCCATTCACAAGTTTATGGTGTTTTGATCTGACTCACTGAGTGTGTTCAAG